ATTTACATATTTTTATATATGTTTTGGCATTTCTCTCGCAATTGCACCAAGATGACGTCACGCAAAAATTACGCTCAAAAATCCTCTCTCATTGGCGCAATCTTGTATTCTATCATTCTTGGTGTGCAACCATGGTTGAATCATCGGTTCTGTATTCACAATGTGCGTATACATATATAAGTGCGTGATAATTATAAAAACTTACTTAATTTACTAAAAACAAATCATAAATGTAAAAAATATGTTTACATTTCATTGTGCGGGGTTTTGATGCAACTATTTTGCCGAAGTGTGTACATAAATATAGTGTTTATTGTGTGAAATAGCGCCAAGAAGTTAGTTCAATTTACAAACTTTAACAACAAATAACTTAAAAACTATAAGCCTCCTGCGGCTAAAAGTATATATATTTGCAATCACGAGAACTCCTACCAACCCATAGCCACCTTTTTTTTGTACGCGGGGGATGCCAAACTAAAATTTTCCAATCGACGCGTTTTAATGCGCACAACAATGGCCCTTATTATGAGCTGTATTCGATTTTCGATCTTCGCTGGCTATCGAAGATCGAAAGTGAAATTCGTATTATGAGCTATGCAAGCGTGCCAAAATTTTCGTTGAGTATCGAATTTTCTGTCGGAACAGAATTTTGCTTTCGATGGTGTAGCGAAGTGTTAGAAAATTGTGAAACATGTATGATTTTGTATGTTTTCTTACATTTTGGCGGCTAGACACTAATTTTAAACAATTTTTATTAATTTCATGCAGTTCTAACATATTGGTCTTGAAGGGAATGTACTAAGAAAATATATGAGCGAATTAAAAAGTGTATACAATTTATAGCCGAAAAGTACATTTTTTGTATAGATTTCGTACTGAAGGAACGATTTCATTTCCCAACACTGATACAGAATGTAAAGAAACACAGGGTTGCAAGGAAAAAAAGTTGAACGAGCTCAAAGTTGGCTGGCGACCAACTTTGTTGAAAGCGATTAGTTGAAAGGCCGTTCGGACGAGGCGATTTTTGCTTTCAACTAAAAGTTGCCTGTAAAATCGCCTCGTGCGAATGCCCTATCAAAATGTAGACGTCTATATTTTCAGACACAATTTGGAACGAACTGTGAACACCCCAAGTGTCAAAGTAAGTTTTTGCCTCGTTCTGATTGGCTGAAGGAGAAAATTTCTGATGCTGAATGGCAATGCCTCTTGTTCAATATACAAGTATATCCAGTAAAAAAACTGTGGTGAAGTCCTTTATGGGGATAAAGTTTCCAGAGGTGAAATTTTAGGTAGCATACAATTTCTTTCACGCATTGTTGCTTTTCAGCACCAACGCAAGAAACTTAAGAAATCATAAAAAAAAATATGCGTATAGTGCATTAATACCATATAATGTATATACTCTGATTAATAATATGAAACATGGATTAGAACCGCCGTTTAATGTTATATTTGTTGCAAATTAATTTTGCCACTCGGGACGCTCTGCGCATTGCCACTGAATAATAGGTGTACTTAAAATTACATCCCTGGTCCTTCTTTTTTCTGTATAGCATCGTGGTGAATTCACATTACTTAGACATTTTACAACAAAACAAAACGAAGTGAGTATTTTATTTGCTAATTTTTTCGATTTCTATTGTTTAATGTAAATTGTATGTCTTTTTAGGATATGTTGAGGCAAAAAAGAAGACGCAGTTGGAAAATGAAGTGATTAGTACGAAGTAGCAGCGCAGGCACATTTGGAAAATTATGCCGATAAGCAAGATAAAATTTGGGGAAGTAAGTGCCTGGTTGCAGCATCTCTATGTATTAAAAAGTTAATTAATTAAATGAAATTGTGTTTAATAGAAATGTTATTAATCGAGTGGCCTTCTCAACGTGCTAAGTTACAAGTTAAGATGACTGCCACCACAGCCGGTAGGAAGCCCGAAGCAAAGGGCAAACAACCTTCTACGAAGCTGCCTGCTGTCCCCGAGTCGTAGCTGAAGTTCAGCAAGAAGCAGGTCAGCAAACGTGCTACCCTGATCAATCGTAAACTAAAGCGCTCAGCTGTGATTCATTCTACGTGCCCGCAGAAGGGCTTTTGTGATCTGTATCTGCGGTATCAACAAAGTTGCACCAAAAGTGCGTAAAGTTTTACTGTGGTTACGTCTTCGCCAAATTAACAACGGTTTGTTCATCGAAAGGAACAAGGCAACCATTAATATGCTATGGAGATCTTAAATCAGTTCGTGAATTGATCTACAAACGTGGAATTGTCAAGCACAACCATCAACGTGTCCCAAACTGTGACAACTTTGTGATCGAATGCAAATTGCACAAAGCGCACGATATTAAGTGCGTTGATTATTTAGCGCACGAAATATTCACTGTTGGATCCCACTTCAAGAAAACATCCAACTACCTGTGGCCATTCAAGCTCAACACCAACCGGTGTTGGTTGGTGTGAACGTTGAGGTTGATGATTTCGGTAACCGTGAAGATAAGATCAACAAACTGCATGCGCAAGATGGTTTAAAGAAATTTTTTGGTGTACTAGGTGGAGTATTTTTATTGCAAAAATATATAATATATAAAAAAAAGAAAATGTTTTTTTTTGTAACTTTCTGAAAGTTTATCCCACAATTATGTCAAATGGAAGGCAGCTTATATTGACGATTCCCTGAATAATGTCGCAATTCCATTGCCGTTTGTAAAGGCCATTTCAAAAGGCTCCATTCCACAAATTTAATTTGTTTTGGTTTTTCAGCTCATTAACGATGCACCCAGGATTGCATTTACCGTCTATGAAAATATTTCACGATCCAAAATTAGCTCCGAGCAACTAAAAGTTGGTTAAGCTTAAGTTAAATAGTTTTTATTAAATATTTATTCCTGGTATATTAAAAAAAAATCAAGTCAATATTAATGTATGAAATGAGGTAAATAAAAATCGAAGAATATATTTTTTGAATATTTTGTCATAGAGCCGTTATTAAATAAAGACATAACTGCGGCGGGTATTGGTCCTGACGTATATAGAATTAATGCATTAGAGAGAGATTATTATTCATGCTCAACGTGGTAATTTAGGTATACTTACATAAGTATGTATTTACCTGTTTTTTTTAGATTTATTTAGATTTATTTGTTTATTTAGATGCATATTTATCTAAATGTTATATCGTCGCCTAGATAAAAGATCGTTGCATGGTACTTTCGGCAGGTTTCGGGAAATCACAATTGAAGTTCGGAATGCAATTTCTCAGAAACTCGACTACATGTTTTCCCCAAAGTGTCGGAGAATGCTATGTACGAGTTCACGAAATTCTTAAATTATCTTATTTTTTAGTTTACTGTCAACCATTTATGAGGTTAATAAAATCTTGTCGAATACGCCAAATGTGATAACATTTTTTATAAATTAACGATACTTTACACTAATCAGCCTAATCGTGAGTCTCGCCCCAAAAAAAAATCGCCAGATATGTTTTCACCCACCCGTAGTGAATACACGGAAACGAAAAGGGAAAGATGGCCCGGTTCGAGAAAATGAAACTCGTGATAAGGCTGAATATGTCGGAAACAAAAGCAGATATTTAAAAACAGATGACGCTATTTGAAGGATCTTGATTAGTTTAGTACGACAGCATTACTAACGTATCCTAAGATATCCAAAAAACTTAAAAAAAGTGAAATATCTGATTTAAAAATATATAACTGCATATTTAACTAAAAACTGTCAAAATAACGCGCCGATATTTGAATGTTACTGGCATAATTTCGAGCCTGTATGTAAAATTTCGGAAAAATGTTAAGTATATTCATATGCTGAAAAGATATTTTCGCAGACTCACAGTTTATTTAAGGTATATCATCAACCTTATTTCCAATTCTATGAATAAATCGCTCCCATAACTTAATTTGTGCATTCAATATATTTCACAATTAACTTAAATACTAAATTACAAATATTTGTTCAATGACCTCGACACAGTAAAATAAAAAAAAAAGTATTTATTAGAAAAATTATTATTTTTAATACATTTATATTTCACCTAAACCTGAGATGTTCAATCGCACTGCAATATTTTTGTATCCATTTTTCCAGTGCTAAAATAATTTTCACCACATAAAATTGCCGCACAACACCCTTTTTGACGAAAAAGCGTTGCTTGCAACACTAGTCCTTTATGGGGACCAAANTGATTTTACCATTTATCTTAATATTATTCAATTTTAACTATTTTTTGTAAAAATACGGTTTATATTTTAAGAAAAGCCGTACAAAGCCAACATTAAAACATTAAAAAAAACCAACACACTTTCGTAAAAATTTCGAGCTTTTTAATTCGATTTCCTAGATTTATATAATAATATAACTAAGTTTTTTAAGATTTCTTTGATTAAGGTGTTAGTAATTTNTCCTAAGATATCCAAAAAACTTAAAAAAAGTGAAATATCTGATTTAAAAATATATAACTGCATATTTAACTAAAAACTGTCAAAATAACGCGCCGATATTTGAATGTTACTGGCATAATTTCGAGCCTGTATGTAAAATTTCGGAAAAATGTTAAGTATATTCATATGCTGAAAAGATATTTTCGCAGACTCACAGTTTATTTAAGGTATATCATCAACCTTATTTCCAATTCTATGAATAAATCGCTCCCATAACTTAATTTGTGCATTCAATATANGTTTAGTCTTGGGTTTATACAGTTTTTCTTAAAGAATACATTATATTTTGTAAACAGANAAAAATGTTAAGTATATTCATATGCTGAAAAGATATTTTCGCAGACTCACAGTTTATTTAAGGTATATCATCAACCTTATTTCCAATTCTATGAATAAATCGCTCCCATAACTTAATTTGTGCATTCAATATATTTCACAATTAACTTAAATACTAAATTACAAATATTTGTTCAATGACCTCGACACAGTAAAATAAAAAAAAAAGTATTTATTAGAAAAANCATCGAAATGTTTCTTTAAAAATTTGCCTAGGCTATATTATACTGGTTCGTTCAAGCCANTTTCACCTAAACCTGAGATGTTCAATCGCACTGCAATATTTTTGTATCCATTTTTCCAGTGCTAAAATAATTTTCACCACATAAAATTGCCGCACAACACCCTTTTTGACGAAAAAGCGTTGCTTGCAACACTAGTCCTTTATGGGGACCAAATTTGGTGGAAAAAAGTTGCTAAGCGATTTTTCAGGCAACTTTTAGTTGAAAGCAAAAATCGCCTCGTCCGAACGGCCTTTCAACTAATCGCTTTCAACAAAGTTGNTGGCTTACCAAATTTACGCCAATGGATAAAATTTTGAGATTTAAATTCATTTTCAATAATGTAAATAACGACTCGTGTTGAATCGAANCTCTTATTTTATCTTTCAGCTTCGCTAAAAGCACATCTACCAACGCTTGGCTTACCAAATTTACGCCAATGGATAAAATTTTGAGATTTAAATTCATTTTCAATAATGTAAATAACGACTCGTGTTGAATCGAAAATCGCCTCGTCTGAATAGGGATGGCAACTTTTTCACTTCCAACTTCGCATTCAACTTTTGTTGCCTGTAAAATCGCCTTGTGCGAATGCCCTATGAGTACTGAATCACATATCTCTCGGACTATTGATAGGACCAAAAAACGATAGGTTTGTATAATAACTTCTCCAGTAAAACATTGCAGCCAGAGCGTTAAAGCAAAATAGAGCGTAAAATTGACAAGAAGAGAAAACTAGCAGAAAAAGTTACTGAACGCAAAACTAGTAAAAACTTTCAAGAGAATAGTTGTTGCACCCTTTTGATATTCTGCTGTAAGCATTTTACTATCTATAAATCAGTTTTAAACTCTTTGCTGTACACACAAGCACTTACACAGTCTAGTACATCATTAATATTTTGATTTCCACTCATTTTACTTTTGTTTGTGCTAAACCTATTCAACATATGGCGGCTTTTGACATTTATTCTTCTTCTTCTTATGCTAGCTAATTTCTGCTAGTAAAAATTCCACTAGCGAGAATTTGCAGCTCTCCCGCGTTATTACGCTCTCGATTCAGTGCTCTCGCAAATTTTTTGGGTTATCATACACTTTTCCAGTAAAAATTTGCAGGTTCCTATACAAATTAGTACTGACTATTGGTTACTATACAAACCTGTTGGTAGCGAAAAATAAAATAAAAATCGATATCATCGATAATAATATTCAAATTTTATTATGTTCGATACACAGTATATACAGTAATAAAACTTTTTTAGTACTCCTCGGGGGTAAAATCTGATCAGGGTTGAAAATGAGAAGGGCATGCATTTTGTTGATTCAGAGTTGTATACAAAATTACTGTGGTATGAAAGGGAGCAACAACCGTACTATGGCAGAGTAGCACAAGTCATGACTATGTAATAGTAGCCGAAACTAATTGGAAAAGTGTAAAAATATTGCAAATTATTGTCTATTATTATAGATACTCGTACAGATAGTTCATAGTTCAGTGTATAATAATTAATATTTCACCGTACATGATAATGAACTGTTAAATGCTGAAAACGCTTGTAACTTGTAGATCACTCAAACTTGGATGTGCTTAATGGACTGTCTGGGCGGATACGCTGGCAGGCATTGGGGTCTGTATAGCTATACAAACCTTGTTTTTTTTTTTATAAAGACTTAAATATATTCGTAAATTTAGAATTTGGCTTGAAAAAATCACAAAATTTACGCTTTTCATAAAAATATAATCTTACAATGGACTTTTTTTATTTTAAACTTACATTTAAGAAAACTCCATTCAATGCTATAATTACGATTTGAGTTTTCCAGTTTATAAAACAAGCGTTAATTACGTACTTAACTATTGATATTATTCTTTATTAAGCATGAATATCAGCATACATTAAAGATGAATATTATACTTCACCTACATTTTGTTCATAAATAACACATAATTATGTATATTTTATCCTTGAAATGAACTTTTTCTGATCATGACGCGAAATTCCCCACACTAAGTGTTGCCGTGCGCGCAAAACAAAAGCGCTGCACAC